AAGAGTGGCTATTGGAGGATGAGCGGGATAGATTGCGAAAACAATCCTGTTGCAGATGACCAGGACTAAGTTTGTTGCAGTATCGGCAGGTTCTGACGGGGCAATTGACCAGGAGATGTGTGGAAGGAAGGCCCCGATTCTGATAGTAGAGGCAGGCAGTGGTCCGCTGGGTGAATGATGGCCGGTACGGAGGAGTGGCAAGAACAGAGTCCACATGATGAGTTTGGAGAGTACCAAGACGAGTCTCCTTTGATAGCAACTCAGAAATAGCTTGTTCCAGAGTGGGCAAGGGATGGCGATGAAGAAGAGAGGCACGTACGGGCTCAAAGGATAAAGTGAGAGCCATGAGAAAGTGCACCAACCTTTGCTGATTACGATAAGCAGTAAATAAAACAGCATCTTCTCGGTGAGGCCAAGTCGGTTCGGAAAGAGCAAGCTGGTCCCAAACGGAGTACATTTGAGAAAGGAAGTCATTGATGGACTGACTAGATTCTTGGCTCATCCGATGAAGTTGGCTCTGAAGTTGATATTGATGAGCAAGACCAGTAGTCTGGTATCGTTCTTTCAAAAAATCTCAGATGTCTTTTGCAGGGGTAGTGACAGAGTCAAGCTGAAAGCGACCAAACTGAAGACTGATAGACGTAACAGAAGTATTTCGAAACCAGGTAATGATTTGGTAATTCTTACTGTCCCATTCCTCAAGACGATCTTCATATGTAGGAGTAGCAGGAGAAACAATGGTTTCAGCAGTGTCTTTCATCGGTTGGGTCATGTCCCCGGTGATAATTCGCCATAGCTTCTTTCCTTTGAGGAAGGAAGACATGGCTTGGGCCCATAGAACATAGTTGGAACCATTCAAAATAATGGAAATGGGATAGGAGGCATCATGACGATCCATAATAAGAGTTGAGTAGGGCTAAATTGATAGGAATAGGCTTGTAGGAGCAAAATTAGGTAAAACAGAGTGTACCAGTGAGTCCGGAAGGCCGAAAATAGCAAGGAAAGGTGGGCTGTGTAGAGATGATGTCAGCAGGATGGAAGATGATGTCAGCGGCGCACGTTAGCAGAGAGGGCGTGCGGCGCACGGTAGCAGAGAGGGCGTGCGGTGCACAGTAGCAGAATGGCACACGCGGGTGCACAATAGCGGAACGGCGCACGCGGGTGCACAATAGCAGAACGGCACATGCGGGTGCACAATAGCGGAACGGCGCACGCGCGGCTCACGGTAGACGAATGGCGCACGCGGGTGCACGGTAGCAGGCGCGGCGCACGAAAGGGCAGAGTGGAAGGCGCGTGAAGGCGCATGTGAGCGTGGCAACGGAAGCAGAGACGCGCCAAGCAAAGAGGCGGCGCGTGAGAGCGCGTGACAGCGTTTCTGGTGACGGGCTTGGTGCCGTTGGAATCGTAAGGAGATTCCGAGCTGTTTGGTGTAGTTCCACTGTGTACGGGACTAAGCACCAAAATTAAAGAATGCCAGAATTGTATTTCTGGGCTCTGATACCATGAAAGATTGGTAGAGGAGAGAAAAGAGAGAGACTGAAATGAAGGATTTGTATATTCAGTGTATGTTATTGTATATCTGTATCTATAGGAGAATGAGCTCTCTCTCTTTATAGAGAGGAGAAGGAGACAATGGAGCACGACAGCATAAGACAATACATTACAATAATATCAAAGCTACTGCTAAAGCTAGCTAAAGCTGAAAGTGAAAGTGTGTGGTAGTGGGTGTTTGCCCTTTACAGCTACTAATGCACTGTGATGTATATTTGCAGCTACAAAGGCACTGTGATGTATATTATATGTTAACATGTTCAATAGTTATGATGATAATATGTAGGTATATGATGGGATAATTTACGTTAAGAGTGGAACCTTTAAATTAAAATGCTATCATTGAAATAATTTCGTGTCACGTAATCTAACCCAATTCTATACGCAAATCAAACATAGTTTTAAAAAATAGCACTTTCATCTTCATCATTGCACCTAGCTAGCTAAATGGTACATCACCTGAAAAAAATCATTTTCAAAAGCTGGCATATAATTTCCAATATTGTAACTTTGATATCAGTTGTGATGGGTAAAGAATATATTTCGTATCATTCTTATTGACTTGTGTTATGGTAGTGAATGCTCTTTCTCTCTCTCTCCTGCTGTTGATGAGAAATTGACCTGTAATCTTTTACTTTTTGATCATTAAAAGCATATTATTCTTGAAGTTTGTTTGGCAGAGTAAACTCTTAACTTGATTGATGATTTTTATTTATTTATTATTTTTTTAAAAGGCAATGTGATCTTTATTGTAGACTTGCTAACCCCATGCGCCCACAATGGCATGTAAGCAACAGCCTGTTCTACCTGGGGAAGGAGTGCATTAATACTCCGAGTGTATTTGATTGAAGGATTTGATGAGAAAAATAAAAATAAAAAAAATGAAATATAATTATACTTTTTGTTTAGTTATCATAGAAAGCATAGGAAAAAAAGACAGTGAGAGGAAAATCAAATCCCACTTTTTGTTGTTTGGGTTGAGTTAGATTCTTTTTTTTCTTTTTCTATTTCCCAACTCAACCAAACTTAGCTTTCCAATTCGAATCTTATCAATTTTTTCTCTTTTTCTTTACCTTAAGCATGTAGTTTTTTATTTTTTGTTTTTTTCTTCTGTAATTGATAGGAAGGGAAATGAGGTATGAAAAATTGAACTCGTAGCAATAAGATGAGAAGTACCCAATTAAATTACTCTCTCTACTTTTTTACACATTTTTTTTATAAAAAATTAAAAAGTCAACTAAAATAGTCACTACCCAAACAAGCTCTAATATCATATCTGATACGTCTATCTACTAAATCAAATTCCTGTAGTTGAATAAGCATTGTTTAACATAAAATTATCTACGAAAAAACCAGGCATTAGAGTCCATTTGATTATAATGGAAAAAAAAAATGATGGGAAGTCAACTTGTTAGAAAGGGAAGTAAAAAATAATTTATTATTATTATTTTTTTTAACAATTGGCTATTTTAATGATAATTTTTTTTTAACAAGATATTGAAAGTCAATTTATCTTGTTGATATGTAAAATACAAGAAAGTTTTCTTACATTTGTCGCCACTCTCATACTCCAAAAAAGCACGGGAAAAGTTTTGTTTTTGTTTTTGCTTTTCATTCTTTTCACCAAAGATGGATTAATCATTAAACTATTTAGCTCATTGCTTAAAGCCTACTAAGAAAACTTGTATGAAATCTATGAGATCGCATACCCTACTTTTGACAATAAAAAATGTTACATTTAGTTAGGACAATACCTCAAAAAACCAATCACAAATAATATTGTAGAAATCTTAATTAAATCAGTGAAAAATTTATTTAAATGAGGTGTAGTAATATTTTTCTATGTGGCAAACTTGCACTAAAAAGATTATAACATGTCCCATTAATATGTAGGTGTCCTAATAACATTTGCCACATGCTTGAAGTAGTAATCACACTACAATTTATTTAGTTTTTAAAGCATAAACTCTTCTTTGACTTCTATGGCTGCTTATTTGGTTGGAGTTGGTTTGTCATGTGCAAAATGGCATCATTTGGAGGCCTAACATCAATTTTAATTTATTTTAATTTTATGACTAGAAACTTCTTGAAAGCAAAGTATGTTTAGGTCTATTCCTACAAAAATAAATTCAAGATATTTGTAATTACCTGTAAATAAGAGATATTGATTAAGCTCAAAAGACATAAGTGAGAGCTAAATCCAACACATCCGAGTTTGTTATCTTAGAATTCACTTTCCTTAACCTTTGAATCTTTGTGTAAATATTATTTTACATTATTTAAAAATACTGGAGTTTGTAATTCTTACATGAATCTAGACCAACTGTGGTAAACTAAGATCGGAAAATTTTGGTAGAAAGAGATACAAAATTTTCAAATTAAATGATTATATATATACATATATATATATATTGATGATACAGTTACGATACAACGAGTTCCAGAGGGAATGGGTCGGACTGGTCCACGCTTCTCCAACCGATATCTAAATGGCCAAGCCCACCTGAGAACCTGCACAGGAGTTCAACGGGGAACGAGAAGTCCCCCAGCGAACCCTCCGACGAGCAAGTTAGAGAGAAGAGTAGAATGTAGAGATAGGAATGGGAGATAGAAAACTTAACACTGATGATACAGTTACGATACAACGGGTTCCAGAGGGAATGGGTCGGACTGGTCCACGCTTCTCCAACCGATATCTGAATGGCCAAGCCCACCTAAGAACCTGCACAGGAGTTCAACGGAGAACGGGGAGTCCCCCAGCGAACCCTCTGACGAGCAAGTTAGAGAGAGAGGAGTAGAATGTAGAGATAGGAATGGGAGATAGAAAACTTAACATTCTTCATGTCTTCAACGTCTATTTATATCCTTTGGTAATCATTTCGCCGTCCCTTCCGACCTGTCACCTTGGCCGAAAGTCTATGCTGTAGCTTACCTTGTTCAAGGTGAGGGGGTGTTGTTCCGACGGAGAGGTGTTGTCATAATAAATGCTGTGATGGGTTGCATTAATGGCGATGTGCAGTGGCAATAACTTTACAGATCTTTGTCTGCTGATGTGGCTTGTCCTTTACCTGCCACATGTCTGAATATCATTGGTTCTTCATGCCATATTGGCTTCTAGCTGTTCAGGATCTCATCAGTTGGGTTATGTGTTGGGCTCTAAGTGATGGGCTTGGGTTGTTCATAGTGAGCTATGACCTTTGTGGGCCTAACCACGTCATATATTGTAACAAAAAATCCCTAACTACACTTTTAATGAGGTTTAAAGTAAAAGTCTTTATATATGCAACTACATATCATAAATAGTTAGTTCTTCATAATATTTCCACCAAGAAAAAAAGGGAGCAATGCAATTTGTTATGTCACATACTTGTATGATTAAAAAAATAAATAAATAAACCCACAAAACCCATAGTCTATAATAATTGAGCTGCATATATATTTGTTTATGTTTTAGTTTGGGGGTTAGACTCTCCATCCACACCCTCTTTAATACCCCCTATCAACAATGCATCCCAATGCAAAGCCAAACATTGCAATCACAATGGAGATTTTGCTAGTTTTATAAATCTCAAATTGGTTGTCCAAACCTATCAAGATCAAAAAAACCAAAAGGAAAACACACCATGCCTTCTTCAATCTTCAAACTCTCAAGCTTCCTCGTGGCATCAATGGCGATCATCTTTCTCTTCCCATCTCTACATTCATTTCCACCAGCGGAGGCAATAAGATCATCATCACTTCTCTTGATCACCCACAATTCAATTCACCAATTCTCATACAAAAAATCAACAAGAGCATTCAAGAACAATGCAATCCAATGTGAGTCTCATCAAACTTCTTCGATACACATTGCTATGACTCTTGATGTTGCATATCTCCGTGGCACCATCGCAGCCGTCCATTCCATTCTCCACCACTCTCTATGTCCTAAAAACATCTTTTTCCATTTCATCGTCGACTCTGACTCTGACACTGACACCGATCTTTATCAATCTCTCCTAAAATCAATCTTTCCATCATTGACATTCAAAATTTACATTTTTGACCCCAAGATTATGAGGCATAGAATTTCATCTTCAGTGAGGCAACCACTAGAACAACCATTGAATTATGCGAGAAACTACTTGGCTCATCTTCTTGAGCCTAGTGTCCAAAAAGTTATATACTTGGATTCTGATTTGGTGGTGGTTGATGATATATCAAAGCTATGGATGACAAATCTTGATACAAGAGCGATCGGAGCGCCTGAATACTGCCACACAAACTTTACTAAATACTTCACCACCAATTTTTGGTCGGAGAACCGATTTTCAAAGACATTCAATGGCCGGAAACCATGTTACTTCAATACAGGTGCATTGGTGATTGTCTATTCAATTTTTCACTTTAAAAATATAGTTAAATTACACATGTAGAAGCTGGTCACAGATGCAGACACATAACCACTGGCGGCTCCACATATATTATTGTGTAGGGGTGGGATTGAATTGATCTTAAAAAAATTTTAAAAAATATTAAAAATATATATTTAGATCAATTGAACTCACTTTTATAAAGATTGACCTCACTGCAATTTGTTTAGAGTTTTTAGACTACAGGCATGACCTCATTACAATCTGTAATTGAGTGACTTTGTTGAGTATTGAAGACTATTGGTGTGATTATTTTTTTTCAATGCTTGCGTACTTTTATATATGTTAATATATATAAATATGCTTCTGATCTATTAGTGAAATTTAAATTACTTTTATCAAATTATTCAATATAAATGATAAAAATTGACAAGTGACATTGAAATTATAATGTTGTGTCGGCTCCAGGAATGTGGGATCCACATGTCTATAGTGTAAGGTCTACAATTTCAGTTTGTGACCGCTTTCTTTTACTTAATGTTTTGAAGGAACTTTATCAGCTAAATTAGAATTAAAATTAAAATTAAAATTCAGGGGTGATGATAATTGATCTGGTGAAATGGAGGCAAAATGGGTACACAAAAAAGATTGAAAGGTGGATGGAAATTCAGAGGGATCATAGGATCTATGAGCTTGGATCACTTCCACCATTTTTGCTGGTTTTCGCCGGACACGTGGCACCGGTGGAGCACAGGTGGAATCAACATGGGCTTGGAGGAGACAATGCAAATGGTAGTTGCAGAGATATGCACCCTGGTCCAACTAGCCTACTTCACTGGAGTGGCGGTGGCAAGCCTTGGCTTCGGCTAGACTCGAACCTACCGTGCCCCCTCGACTGGGTTTGGGCTCAGTATGACTTGTACAAACATTCATTGTGATCGGAGGTGGTTGTCGGCGGTGTGTTTCTTAACGGTTAGTTTTGCTTCTCTTTTAAATTCAAATTTATTGTTCATCAATGCATTTGTTTTGGATTTCTTCCCGAATGAAATTATAGATGCATTACTTGTACCATCTATTCACAATGGGATTAAGAACTCGAATATGAGTTTAAGACAATGGCACGTTGCATATCTTAAATAATAATAATAATAAAAGAAAGTCAAGAGGGATATACTTGGATTGAAATCATGAAGCAGGTTAGAATATTAACCTGAAGAATTTATTGTTTGTACATTTTGATTGATTTGGCAGAATGTTTAAACAAAACCAAAAAAAAAAAAATACCAAATTCAAAGAATAAAATCACATTTGATAGAGTTTGAATCCGGGTAATTTAGAAATTCTAAATTTGGATGAGTTTATAAAAATTGGAAATATGGGTGAAAATTGCCTAAATTAATATATCATATAAACAAATAGTTGTTTTATTTGATTAAAAATTTTAGTTAAAATGAATTCATTTTGTTCTGCCTTTGGGTCTAGGAGTCTTTTTCTTTTCTTTTTTATTTACCTGTTTGTGAAGTACCTTTTGTATCACATTTCCCACTATTCTCTTTGTATTTATTATAGGGAGGCATTTAGGCTATATATTATTTATGCAGTAAAATATATTTTATTTCCTGGAAGTACATGTATATGAATTAAGTACTCATTATACAAATTTGAATTGTTAAAAGCATGTCAAATTTCATAGTGTCCATTAGCAAACTTTACTTTGAGGTGTTATAAATTTGATTAAAATCTGTGTTTATAATGCACCATGAAATCACCACTACAACAAAAAACAGTTTTGGCGACCAAAAATGTAAATTTCGTCGCTGAAAGTAGGACAATTGGCGACTAAAATTGAATTAGTAGCCAAAAGTGAAGACTTTTGGCGACTAAAACAGTTTAGTAGCCAAATGTGTACTTATTGGCGACCAAAAATCAGATCAGTCGCTGATTACATGGGTTTTAGCGACTAAAACAATTTTAGTAGCCAAAGGTGAAGGTTTTTGGCGACTAAAAAAGACTAGTAGCCAAAAGTATAGGCTTTGGCAACTAAAAAATGGTTTGGTCGCCGATTGTAGGTGTTTTACCGACAAAAAAAATGTTGTAGCCAAATGTATAGGTTTTTGGCTACTAAAAGATTTTTAGTAGCTAAAAGTGGACAATTGGCGACTAAAATTGAGTTTAGTCGCAAAAGCGGCAGTTTTGGCGACTAAAAATCAGTTTAGTAGCCGAAAGTGGTTATTTTTAGACGGAAATTAATTTTTTTAGTGACTAAATTATTGGTAGTAGCCAAAACTAAGGTTTTTGGCGACTAAAAAAAACTTTAGTCGCCAAAAGTGGCTCCCCTTTTTTTTTAATAATTAATTTATTTTTTACATAAATTAATATTGAATAAAAATAATTATATTTATATATATAGTTTTAAATTAATACGGGTCAATATACTATATAAATAATATATATTGCATATATATTCATGTGATCTTGTGATGGCATAGTGGAGAGAGTGTGTTGGTAAAGGTCTACAAAGTAGAAGGTCCGTGATTTGAATCTCAGAAAAAGCAAAAAAAATTGGTAATTTAATGTCTATATTTTAGAATTTGAAACATAATACTGGTAATTTAATTCGAAAATTGAAATTCAAAGTTCAGCAATTAAAAATTCAATTTGTTTCTTCCGCATGTCGAGGTTTCAAATGACAATTAATTGATTTTTAAAGATATAATTTTGTTTTGTCTACTCATATATTTATAATTTAAACAAAATGCCATATCTGAAACATATAATGCTCTTGCTTATAGTAAGGTTTATGAGAGGTCGTAAATAGGCAACTTTACTTTCATTACTATGTGAAAATATTGATTCTTGCTGATTCGATTTTATATGATTCAAAATATTGGATAATTAATTCAAATGCAACATTCTCTTTTTGTATAGGTTCAAAGTTGAAGCACATGGTGTTCTCGAACAGTTTCCTCAAAGCATTTCAGACGAAGAAAATTTTCATTTTATAGGGCCGAGCATTTTTCTTAGGGCGAGATCCAATCTCTTGGTCCCTCTAGAAAGGAAAAATAATTTCAAAAAAAAAAAAAAATGGAAAGTAGAATAAAAGGAAACCAACTCCCATTGAATAAGTTGCAATCAAGAAGAAATAAAAAAAATAAAGTTGGAAAAGGAAGATAGTGTTGGTGTTGAAGGCAGTCACTCTGTTTGATTTTGACTTTTCAAATATAATTTTTAAAATTTTCATATATATGTGTTCTAAGACCATCTCTAACGTTGTATCCGACTCAGCATCAAATTTGAATTTAATGAAAAAAGTCACATTTTTCCTCTCCAATGGTTTCACCAAACTGATATCAAACTGAGAATGAAGCAAAAATTTCATCAAACTGAAGACACGCGTAAGGTTTTACCATTTTACTATGCAGGAACGTTGGAGGTGGGGCCACCGGTCAACCGGCCGGTTGACCCACCGGTCGACCGGCTCCTTTCAAATAAGTAGGTTCATTTCAAATAAATAGGTTCAAACAGGGTCCAAAAGGTTCAAACAGATTAAAAAAAAAATTTCTTCACCTTACCGGTACCGATTGTCCCCAGCTAGTATTAATTTGATGCAACCGTTGGAGGAAGTAATACCAAATTGAGAAAATCACCTTTTTTTTCATCAGATTTGATGAAAAAAAAGATTCACTGTTGGAGATGCTCTAAGTGAACTTTTTAAAATATTTTAGTTAAATTTATTTACTTTTTAATGGACCTAATTTAAATATATTTAAAAAGTAAAATATTCATAAAAAGATATTTTTAAAAAGTCACTAAATACAAAAAAATACAATTCAAGACATCATATTTTTTGTATTATTAAATTTTTTAAAGAAAATATTTTACTTTTTAGATGTATTTATGTTAAAAAAATAAATCGACTAAAATATATTTAAAAAAAAGTTCAATAAAGATGACAAAACATAAAAAATAAAAAACTCAAAATCTGTATTTGAAAACTCAAAACCAAGCTTAGTGAACAGGCTAAATGTGAAATGGGTTGGGTCCAAGCCTTGAGCCGGCCCAATCCACTGAAGTCCGAATCCAAGGGGGCTGGATGAGTATATAGGCAAACCAATTGAGCCCAACTTCATGATCAACAGTCCACCTAAGTCCTCAAGCACTTGGGCCCAACCCGCAGTGGAAAAGCTAGTCCAGCCGTAGTGCTGGGCTGGACCGAGCTGCGAAACTGAACCTTTGGGCCGAACAGAAAATAGGCCAAGCTCGTACGAAGATATCCAAATAGGATCAGCCCATCTCCACGAATGATCTTGTAAAAGGCCGAGACAAGACATAATGATGCCGAGCTGAGGCGCATCGGTACTGAGCTGAGGAAACCTCGCAGGGAAACGTGGAAGTTGTGAATGTGTGCATGTGCAAGTTACCACCTTAGCTGGTCCCCTACACCTAGAATCACGGAAGTTGTTGAACCAAAGGAATGTGGTTTGTTATCAGCATGACTACAATGAGTATATGCGTTCAATGACAATTACCAGGTGGTCCCCCACCCTGAACAATGCTAAAAGGACACCTGGCAACATCCAAACTCCATGAACCCACCTTGAGAAGCAAGCAAGGAACACTATATGTACAACATGAGCTTTACATGGAAGGTAACTGAACAATTCCAAGTAAAACTACAACTCTCTTTACACTTCTTCTCCGATCGCTAATTCCCACACCGGAGGGGTTATTCGGCCAACCCCAGCCGGGCAGCTCTAACGGTGCTTCCTGTGGCAGGAACCTCAGTCCCTGGATAGTCCAACCGAATGCAGGGCCCCAATCCACTTTCATCTAGTGCGGAATCCGATACGCACAATTGGTGCGGTGAACGTGGACCATTTCATCTCTGAGCTCTGCACTCAGTTCCGGCGATGGGGATTGAGGACATTCCGCCTTCGACACATACTCCACAGACGGAGAAGACGAAGGACAAAGGTTTGGCACTCCCAACAGTCCCGGAGGAACAAACTAGAAACAATAATCGAACCCCTAAATCCGTCGAGCATCGATTACCCTTCGCTGGCGGTTCTTCTCATCACTTTCTTCTGGAAAAGGATTATAGAGATCGAATCATAGACTCCATGGGGATGCAGATACAGGAGTTGAAAGCCCAACTTAAGAGGGTACTGGGTGATCTGACGGAAAAGAAGACAGAAGTGGAGCCCTCTCGTTTGCGACGGAGGAGCTCATCCAGAGAACCACCAGTGAAGAAGTTCCCCAGGAATGAGTCTGGGCAACAAAGCCAGCCTATCCCGGTACAGAGTGAGGCAGCAAGCAGTCACACTCGTGGGTCACGCCGGAGAAGGGCCAAGAAGCAGAAGACAGTTAGCCAACAAACTGAATACCCTCTTCAGGACCTTCGTACTTGGTTGATTGGCAATAGGCAGAACGAACAACATCGGGATCACCTAGACCGCACCGTTCACCAGAGAGAACACCGAGCGTTGGACAGGCTCGTCTCTTCGCCATTCTCCCCAGAGATTGAGACCATGAGACCTCCAAAGAAATTCACCCCACCAAAGTTTACTTCATACGACGGGAAGTCGGACCCGCTGACACATATTAGCCATTATAGACAGATGATGTCCCTATGGAACCGAGATGAGGCACTGATGTGTAAAGTCTTCCCATCTAGCTTGGGAGAAACAGGACTTCGATGGTTCGATCGTCTCCCTGCTGGATCGATCCATGGCTGGAAACAGCTCTCCGAAGAGTTCCTAGCCAGGTTCATCTCCAACACTAAGATCCTGAAGGAGCCGGAAACGCTGCGCAATTATGCTAGGAGGTACTGGAAAGAGTACAATGACCTGGAGGAAAATGTGTGCAGCGAACAGATGGCCGTTATGTCCTTCAAACATGGTCTGCGCTCGGAAAGTACGCTGAGACAATCACTTACCAAGCACCCGGCCACAGCTTTGAAAGATTTGCGTGTCAGGATTGAGCAATACGCTCGCCTCGAGGACGATCAAATCCCCATCGAGGAAGCATCAGCAGAACAAACAGCTCGGCACAAAAAGACACCAGATCGAGGAGAACACCTGTAGATGTCCCCGAACATCCCAGGAAAGATCTCGTTTTGTTCATTGGGGCTCACTACAATTCGGACTCAAATTGTCACGGTTCTTAATCTGATCTTGCAAAGTGCAATGCAAGATTGATAAATCACCAAAGAGTCCAAATCCGGCAAATCGTTTTTGGAAAACAGATTTTTTAGAAAGAAGTGCCAAACATGGACTCCTTTGCCAGATACAGAGTCGCCACCTAAATATTTATTTTCGGAGAATTTAGGAAACCCTGACTCGTTGCCTAAGGCCACGTGTCCATCATCACCAAAGTTACCTCAGCTCGGGAACTTGGGTACGATTGGGAAAGGCCAGCTATGAGCACCCCCGCTCGCCCGATCAAAGATCGGCCTCTACTAACTATGATATCGATTTTTTAAAACATTATGTCCTCTTATTCCGGTTTATTAGCCTAGAATTACTACGTGATGCGCACAGCATACAAGTATAGACTGGATTGCCTAAGTTAGAACAAAGCATCGTATATCCGTTTGTTTTGAAAAATGGATTGAAGTTTGCTACTCGTAAGTAGGCTAAAATACGAGTTTCGACGAATTATTCCAACTCAAGCAACCCAACCTTCACTCACAGGCATTCAGGCAGTTATATTACATAAGCACATAGCCTCATGGTAAGCATGCTATCATGGCAGTCACTCACACACATACAAGGATGCTAAAGCATAAAAGCTTACCGAGTACTCCAAGCCAAAAGAGAAGCTAATTAGAAATCATGCATGAATCCTAACTATGCTGAGATGCCTAATGCAACACATGCAAAAATGCAACTTAAGATAGGCTCGGCTACTCTAAGATGGCATATGAGATGCAACAGATAACATGTATTCAATTTGGAATTGAAATACAATGTAGTTAGCATGATGCGCCAAGCCTAATCCATGCAAGACAGATGAATGAATGCAAACATACGAGCATAAGTATGCTAATTGAAACATGCCCTAAACTAACCATCATAAGCTAGTAAATAAAAGGGAGAAAGAAGTGAGGGTTGGAAGACATGCATCACACACATGCACACTTGTTACAGAATTTGCCCTCTCTCGGAGGGACCGAATGAATAATACAAATTAATCAACTAACAAGCTAATTAATTAATTACAAAACCACTAAACTAATTGACAAATTAATTAAGCAACTAAAAGGAGTAAAATAGCCTCGGGAAGAGGGATGAATGTATGCATGCTCGGCTCCGCTCGAAAATCCATCGCCATGCCACAGTTGCCTCTGTTTGTACTGCTTTATGACTCTGAAAATTGCATGAGTCCCAAGGTCGGTTCTGGAACACTCCCTAAACACTATGGGAGGTCACCGGCCAAGAGCAATGGTCACCGGCCATGGAAAAGTGGTCATCGACCAGTTGTGAGGCTCTCGGCCAACAATGGATAGCCGGCTGGCACTGAAGATGGCCGACCAGCCATCTCTTCTTGCAGAATTCTGTTTGACAGCAACAAAAGGAAAACAGAGCATGTCAATGCATTTTCAAAGCAATGTATGCACAACCACCCTTCCTATCATGTTTAAGACTCAAGGAAGTATGGTACTCGACTCTTGGGCCACCAATCACACATTTTCATGCATGATGGCCAAAGAGTCAAGTGTGCAATTCAATATGAAATGAAATGCACAAAACACATAAAGGGCCCCAACCTCTATCATGATTGATCAAGAGGCAAGGGATGCATGCTCAATGCTATGCAACCTAAGCATACAAACAAACTAATGCAAAATGAGTATGCTAGCAAGCAATATGCAATAGACAAACAACCTAAATATGCAAACATGCAACCTAGCATACACAATGCTATGGACTATATGGCACACACAATGCTATATGAACTATGGCATGCTCAATGCAACTAACCACCTAGCATACACAATGCAAGGAGTGACATGGCATACACAATGCTAACAACATAACATGCACAACACATTGTAACATGGCATACAAGCACAATTCTCAACAGCACTTAAAGCATGGAAAACATGGGAGTATGGCACAAATATAAGCTCTGAAATATCATACCCAATGATGCCAAAACATGCAAACACCTCAATATAAGCATGCAATAGGCTTCAAAACTCAAGACTAGGCATGGCTATTACACTACAAGCATACATG